CACTCCTGCTGCGGATCAGCGGAGGATGCCATTGCTATTGTGCTTCACATACTTCTGGAACACCTGGAGCACAAAAAAACTATGCAAGGCTGCTCTTCATTGACTTTAGTTCGGCTTTCCTGCGGAAACTGTGCAACCTTGGATTGAACAACTCATTATGTAACTGGATACTGGACTTTTTAACCAACCGCTCTCAATGTATGAAAACAGGCAAGCACATTTCAAACAGCATATGCATCAACACTGGTGCCCCTCAGGGTTGCGCGCTCAGTCCACTACACACTTTACACACATGACTGTTCTGCCTCCTTCCCCACTAATCACATCGTTAAATTTGCAGACGACACAACTGTGCTCGGCCTCATGACAAACAACGAGACGGCATACAGGGAGGAGATTGAACTACTGGCAGGGTGGTGTAAAGAGCATAATCTGGCTTTTAACATCAAAAAGACCAAATAAATTATAGTGGACTTTCATAAGTTAAACCATCCTGGTCATTCACCTCTCTATATTAACAGAGAGGCAGTATAGAGGGTGAACAGTTTTAAATTCCTGGGTCTGATTGTGTCAGACAGGAGGATCTGTCCTGGGGTAGTAACATCACCTTAGCTGTAGGGAAGGCCCAGCAGCGTCTCTTTTTCCTGAAGAAGTTGAAAAGAGCCAAAATACCCCAGAGGTTCATGATAAATTTCTACAATTGTGCAATTCATAGTGTGCAGACTTATGGGCTGCTAGTGTGGTTCTCCAGCTGCACAGTAGCTGAACAGCAGATGATTCAGAGGGTGGTAAAAACTGCTGGTAAAATCATCAGGACTGTCCTCCCAGAGATTTCTACTGCGTACACCTCCCGCTGCCTGTGTAGGACACACAACATCATAAGAGACCGGTTTCACCCAGCACACAGTTTGTTTCACCTGTTGCCCTCTGGTAGGAGGTACAGGTCCCTTCAGGCCAGAACCACCAGAATGGCCAACAGCCTCTATCCCCAGGAAGTCAGACTGCTGAATAAACACTGTTCCCCTCTCCCCCCACTTAATTCGTATCCATTATGCACCATTCTCCAACAACTGCAATAACTGTGAACTGGACTTTATACTGCTGCAGCACAGACAACAATACACATTTTTTTGATTACTACTGTTTCTCTACTCATACACTGTATTCCTTGCCAATGTCGTATTGTCCTGTTTACATACTGTGCTATTGCTGATAATGTTGGACTTTATTATGTCACTGTTTACATTCCTACACATTCGCACTGTATGGAATTGCACTGTCGATTGATGCTCTAATGTAATCTCGTTGTACTACAGCAATGACAATAAATTAATTATTCATTCATTATTCAATATGAATTTATGATTCCAGTCCACAGTCAACAGGGTTGTGAATAAAGAATCTTCGGTAAATAATTCACATTTGTATTACAAAAGAAAGGCTAACATAATTGTTTATGGGGCCAATGAAGATAATAATTTTCTGTAATGGAGATGGAGGTTTCCGTGACCTCTCGTGAGATCTCGGCAAAAAGTCTCACGATTTATTTCCAGAACATGATGCATGATGGGATACACTAAGCCTCGAATAGCGCTCCGGAGCGGTATTCGAGATAGTGTGGATTTAGTGTGCGTTAAGGGCACTGTGCTTTGCCATTTTTAAAGGGGTCATATGATGCTATTTAAATTTTTTCTTTCTCTTTGGAGTGTTACAAGCTCTTGGTGCACAAAGAAGATCGGCTTTCACCGTGGGCGAAGCGGAGTCCAGCCCTGGTTCGTCATATGTCCTTCTGGACGCTCCTTCGTCGAAATCGCCGGCCGCGCTGTTCTCAACCCCACCCGCCTCTGCTCACTCTAACCCTCCCGCCGTTCCTCACGCTAGCAAGGCTGCAGCCAGACCCTTCTCGAACTTGAGGCAGCCAGGTATCCCAGAATGCATTTCGCACCAATCAGCCAGCGTTAATTGCAGAGGAGAAAACCCGCATCATTTTCAAACTATTATTGTGTCATGAAATGCAGGTCTAAGAGTATTTCAGGTGAGAATGCAGTTGTTTAAACCTCAAATCTGTGGTTTATTTATAAAGATATCGCCTATTTGAAAATTTGCTTCGCTGATGTCGGAGACGTGAGATCTACGCGATCAGCGGGCGCTCAGTGCTTATGTTTCCCGACGAGAGCAGCCTAACCTCGACTAGTCCTTCTGACACTTGCCGCTGGCTCTGATGTCTCTAGTGGTTAAACATGAGGTAAAGTTCGTTGTGGGTAGCCTATATCTAACAGGTAATCTTTGGTCTTATGAATCTATTATTTTTTGCAGGTCATATCGTTTTGGCTGAGCACAAAGTTGTTTCATAAATTATTTATTTATTAATCTTAATACAGCGCTGACTTTGTTGCATACATTTGACTGAATGGTTTGCTTTTGTCTTTATTTCCTATTACATAAGTCTCTTATACTTCTACTACTTTTATAATGGCTATTATTGTTCATTAAAACTGACGTTTAACAAAAAAGGCAGAGTTGTGCTTTTCATATTTCATTTTATGATACATACAGTGAAGATAATCAGAGTATACGTGCACATATTACCTAAACCACATATTAATGTTTTATATTTTGAAGAAAAAGAAAAGGCAGTGGTGTTTGATATCATTTCGTTTTATTCTAATGCATGAACCACATTTTTGAGGCTATTAATATTTTAAATGAAACAGAAAAGAGGAATGCTGTTTGATATAATATTTAGTTTCACTGTAATGTATGTACGTTCCCTGAACTACATTTTTGCGACTAATAATATGTTTAAATGAAAACAAAAAGAGGCAGTGGTGTTTGATAACATATTTCTTCATACTGTAAATGCATACAGTGTAGATAACCGGAGTAGCCAAGGCGAGCTGACTGACGTTATCAAGTAGCCTACACTGCTGTTCCATTTGCAGAATTACCGGACTTGTGTCCTCCCGTCCTCTCAGTAGGGGTTCAATCTTCAACTGGCTGGCAGGAGCCGCCACTGACAGGTCACGTGACCTGCCAGTGGTTGGTGGCAGCTGCCAGTGGCAAGTCACGTGACCTGTCAGTGGTTGGTGGCAGCTGCCAGTCTGATTCTGTCAGCTGCCAGTTGCAGGTCACGTGACCTGTCAGTGGCTGGCTGGCTGGCTGGCAGCTGGCAGTATGCCTTAACAAGTTTCAGCAGCCATAAATTTTCCGCAGATTTTGTGTTTTGTGCAATTTTTTATTGTGAACCTGTTCAGTTCTTTACTTTTACATGGTTGATGTTTTAGAGGATTTTAGCGCGATTAAAGTGTTTGACTGTGATCCCAACTGGTTTGGTTATTGTCGCTTCCACTGGCTGCTCAATCAAACAGCCGCAAGAGCGCTCCGAGTTTAACGCATTCTCTACCACTCTCTCTACAAGGAAATATATTATTTTATGATTATTAATATATTCTTATGGGTCTAGTCTTTTAATTTGTTGACATTTTATAGAGGCTTATTACAAATAAAGTGCCCAAATGGCCGTGATCCCAACTGGCAGCTGATTGTCGCTTCCACTGGCCGCTCAGTGAGACAGCCGCCTCGTTCCAAGGCATTCCAATAATTTTATTCCCCTAGCTACAGTGGAAAGAGAGCAAAACACATAAATCTGCCATAAATCAATGGTTCCCGATAGTGTACTGCCAGCTGCCAGGCAGCCAGTCACTGCGGGGCTGCGAGTATAACGCGTTCACTCTTGCTGCAAGGAAATACATAATTTTATTATTATTATGAATGTATTCATATGACTATTCTTGATTGGAGTTTTAGGTGGGTTTATCCCAATTAAAGCAGTCAAATGACCGTGGTCACGACTGGTTGCTTACTGACGCTTCTCTTGACGATCAACCAGCCGCAAATGAGCGCTCCGCTCTGACATGACAGCTGATCTCATTCCAAGGAATTATTTTCGCCGCACATGCTTTACGTCTTTATAAAAAAGGGCAAGCCGCAAACTTTAACGAATTTGTGCTGAGTCTTTCATGTTTTATCTTTAAACCGACTGTCATGTAATACTTTTCTTGTTTTTTTCTTTCTTTTTTTTTGGTTTAATTGAATAAAGATATGTTGTTTGTACTTTTGTGGTACAGAGAGTGGACACAAAAAAAAAGCCATTACAAGGTGACGTGTGCAAGGTCTTCAGGTATGCTTGACTGCATGTATAACAACAGAGAGGTTTCTCACACACACACACACATGTATATATATATATGTATATTTGTATGATTTCCCCTGTATGTATGTATATATATATATATATATATATATATACATATATATACAGTATATATACACACATACATACATATATAATGTTTTTTTAATTATGTTATCATGTTTTTATCGTTTTATTGTGTTAGTTATCTAGTATGTTTTAGTTATTTTTTTACCTAATCAAAATGATACAACTGCGTTTTAATTGAGATTAATTGGAATGCACAATTAATTGAAAAAAAAATTTGTTTTTTTGTAAATTGTTAAAAGCGGAGTTATCTGTAACTTTGTTTTTGCAAATAAACGTATGTATGTATGTACACTGTAAAAAGTTATAAGTTCAATTCACTTAAAAAAATTGAGGAAACCCATTGCCTTAAAACGATTAAGAAAATAATAATTAAAAAAATAAGTGAATTGTCAAGTTCACGGAACTTATTTTTTTTAATTATTATTTATATAATAATAATTATATATATATATATATATATATATCTATATCTGTGTATGTGTGTATGATGTATGATTTCCCCTGTAGAATGCTCAAAAGATTCAATAAGGATCTACAATTCTATAAAAAGGAATGACATGGAGATTCTAAGGTAATACATTTCTGATCTTTATCATAATTTCTCAAGTCTTTTATAAAAACATTAATTATTCTAAAAACATTATATTAATAATACATAGAAAAGGTGAAAGATGCATGATGGGTGAGCTCTGTTTTAATCTAAAATCTGTATAGAGAGGCTTTCCAAAAACATGGGTCACTGGACGGCTGGACTGTTTGGAATCCAGAACAGTGGAAGCAAGACTGTGTGAACTGTGGGGTATTTGTGTGCACTGTTAAGTTTATTTCTCACTTCACTATAAAAATGTTTTCAATGTAAATGTGTTGTTTTGGGCTGTGAACAACAATGCTTTTTTGTTTTAAAGGCAGCAGAAATGGAAGCAAAAAATATGAAAATGTCATCTGAAGTGCTTCAAACATGTCAGCTAGTACACCTATGTGTTTACCATGCCACAAGCATGTTGAAAGATGTGACAACTGAAGTAAGAGAAATAGGAATTAAGAGTTTCAATCAAATTTGACAAAAAGAGAATATTACAATTCATATGTACTGCTGGACAGGACTTTCCGACTGCAATTGGAGAAACAGAGGAAAGCGAAATAGAGACCAACAACTGCATTGCCCAGGACATAAAAGCCTGCATTTATCAAAACACAGG